AACAAATCAATGTTTCTCTCTCTCTCTCTCTCTCTCTCTCTCTCTCTCTTTCTCTTTCTCCCTACCTCTCTCTCTCTAAATTCAATAAATAAATACAATTTTAAAGAAATTGTAATGGGGAAAGAAAAGCCTGGTCCCCAAAATAAAAGGCCCATTCATTGAAGAGAGCAATGTTACTCTTTATTGACACTTAGAAGCAATATCCCTATTATTAGGAATAATGTAGTTACACCTCATTCTTTTTATGTATTATAATCATTAAGTATATCTGAATACAAATATAAAAAATACACATACTGCATGGTGACTAAGTAATTTTGGAGTAAGTCCACAGACTAAGTCACAGCATTCATAAATAGTTTATATCTTAACTGCTCATTTATCCCCGAACAAGTTTTCATTAAGCAGACTAATAATTTTCAAATGATGTAATAGAAAAATCTGGATGTAGTATTTTATTATTTTGCCGAATTACATTTGGGGGGAAAGAAGCTAGCTGCTTCACCTATGCTAATGCTAGTATATTCTGGATCATGTTAACACAAATTCATGTATTGAAACCTTCAAGATCATAAATTTTCCACAAGGAGATATTATTTAGACTGTGTCATTGGTGTGTAATTGCAAAAGATTTTAACATTGCAAACATTATAACTTTCAAGATCCGGCACAGGAAGAGGTTTATACTCTACTACAACGATGCTGGTGTGTACTTCTACACAAAGGCGCCTTAGTGATGTCAATCAACTGGAGGTAGGATTTTATCGATGAATTGCCTGATATCCACCATTTCCTGTTTGGAATAAAGTGATTTAATAAGCAGTTACACAAATCAGAAATTAAATCCCCACTGAAATACCACTAACTAAATCCATGGTGTGTGTACATAATGTGAAACAACATTTTTACTACTACGATGAAATAAAAAGTTGTAACAGAGAAAGGAGGCTCAAATAGAAATTTCAGATCATTTTCTCTGATTATTATTGTACATTCAATATGGCTCACATCTAGTATCTACTCCCATGAAAATGGACTGCATTTTGCTATACTTGAACAAATAAAACATGGGGGTGCGGAGAGATGAAAGGGGCTTAGAAGTGACAATAATGAGAAGTATTAAGAAGTATGCAATGACTGCCAACTACATATACGTGGAAAGCCTAGCTTTTAACATTCTCTCGTGAGAATGAAATGCTAAATCCACAGCATAAAATATTTTTGGCCTTGTATCAGGATTTTGATATAATCAACCATTAGAAAGATAGCAAGCACCTAAGGTAAGCCTGGAAAGATATGAAAATTCATATAACCAAATATTTATGACAGCAAAACCTTTCCTAAAAGACCCCTGCATCTGTCTCACAGTTGTCTCACTTCCCCCAAACACATTTCATTTCCTCCAATCAACTCTAGTATTTCAAGGCTCAGCCCCCACAAGTCAGCAATGCAGAGAGCCTTCAACCTGATACTTTACTCAGAAAAAAAGCCACAGCACAAAAGTGGGTAACTCAGTTGTATAAATAAATGGAACAACACTCTAAAGTCCTTTAAAAGTTTCCTGTGACACCATCTCCTACTTTTCTACCTCTTCTCACTTTCTGCTCCTAATTATTCATCCAGTGTCCTCCAATGTGATGGCATAAAATATCATTTAAGGAGCTTTTATTTTTAAAAAAATCTCCATACAAACACAGATGCCTGAGTTCAACCCCAAATCCCCAATGTGCTGAATCAGAATCACTGCATTTGGAGTTTGGGGGTCTGTATGTTTATTAAGCTCTGGGGTCCTTGTGATACAAAGTGGTTGGAAAACCACTGCTCTAGACCCTCAGTCCCTTCTGGATGCTCAGAGTGCCGTCTCCCTTTCTGGATTCAACACTTCACAACAGTTCCTTTTTTTTTATTTTTTATTGATTCTATAAAAACAAAAGGTTATTTTAAAAGAACTTCTAGAAAATTGTGGGTATGACATCTGTTTGATAACTCTACAGAAAGTCTACAGACTCACAAGTACAAAAGCAAGGAACCACTATGACAGTTTCAACTATGTCCTTAATAATACCCTAGCATCTCAGGCCCCTTGTTTTTCTGGATAAATCATATTACTACCTACTGTCTCTGCCCTAAAGCAAATTATTTAGCCAGGTTGAGCAGTTAGTTGCAAAACCATGGTAACATAAACTGCCTCAATGTTTAGCCGACAATTTTTAGTGTAGGCTTCCCTAAGCCTCTAAATCTATCCAGGCCTCCTTCATTCTTATTAAGTAACCACATCTCCCCTACTTTACTGAAAAGATTGAGAGGATCTAATGTGAGCTCGCAACTACTTTCTACCATACTTCAACAATCCATTCATGTTCATCCATCCTCTTCTATCTTGATTCCAAAGTGTTTTTCTCCTCTTTTAAGGCAACCACTACCCATTTCAGGACTTAATTATAAATTATATCATCCCTCTAAAACTTCCCACTATCAGTTATCTTCTCTTTATGGCATCTTCTCCCTCTTTCCTCCCAACCTATCAGGGTCTCTTTCTCCCATCCTGTTAAATCAAGAAACTTCCTACTCTTTTCCCATTTTACCAAAACCTTTTTTTAAAAAGGTTTATACATGTTGCCTCTACTTCCTCATTTCCCTACTTCACATAATCTATTGCAGTTTGGCTCTATCTCCCCAAACATCTGAGATGCCTTCTTACTGGATAGTTTCTTCCTGGCCTATTTCTCCTTAATCAGTCTCTGAATCATCAGTTATTGTTCCCACCCACTCAGAAATTCTCTCTTCCTTTACTCTCACTCAACACTTAACTCCTTTGAACTCCCCCAAAGTTCTATCCCTTGGATTTTTTTCTCATGATATCCCTGTGATTCTTCACTGATCAATAATATTGATAATTATTCTAAACCTCGATTAAAGGCTGGAGCTTCAGACAAGTATTTTCAATATCCATCCTGATATACTGTAATGGGAGCATACCAATTCCCTTATGGTCATTAAACTCAGTAAGTATATCTCCTTCCCGTTACCCTAAAACTGTTCCTTGTACTACATACTTTATGAGTGGCATCATCTTAATCATCTGAGCTAGAAATATAAGGCCTCATTGATCCTTTCCTATTCCATAGAATTAATCACTAAATCCTAGTGGATTCTGCTTCACTTGTTTCCAGAATATACATTACATCTTGCTTTGATTAAAAAAAAAAAAAACAGTCAGTGGCTTTCTGCTGTTTAGAGAACAAGTCCATTCTCAACACAGCATAAAAGCTCTGGACAATCGAATCTTTCCTCTCTGTCTCTATTCTATGACACCTAGCTTTTCATAAGACTACAGCCTAATGGGACAGCTTGCTTCTCCTGTCCTACAGTCCTTTCTCTGCACACTTACTATCTAAATCCTACCCTGTGTTCAAAATCTAGCTCTTTCATCATGATCCAGTGTCTCCTAAGATAAAATTAATCTCACTCTCCTCAGTTTTTCAAGTAACTTTTTAAAACTTCCAATAGAACACATATCACATCTGTTTTCTATACAGTTACTTGGATATATATCCTCCCCATATCCTTCTCCCCTATTAAATTTTTAATGTTAATGAATCCTGTCTAAATTGTAATAAAAGGAAATGGGTTTTTTTGGTCTTAGAATTATGTACAATGCTTGCATGTAATAGGAAATCAGTGAATGTTTGTTGAATTAAATTGAAGAAGCTTTGATCTAAGTCCTACTAACCTATGACTCAGAGTGAATTCATTAACTCCTTTAAAGCCCCAAATGGTCAAATATTATTTATCTTGAAATATCACATGGAAAAAGAAGCAAATTACGTCTCTATAATCACTGTTTCCAAACATTTACCTGTGGACATGAACTATGCATCATGCCTTCATAGACTTTGAAGGTTACATTGGCTGGATTTACCAATGTTTTTAGCTTTTCAGCAGTAAGAGAACCAAACATTAGAGGAACTAAAGGATCAGAATCTCCATGGCACTGAAGAATAGAAATATCTCTATTAACACCACTGATAGGACCCTGCAAAAACAACAAAACAAAATAAAACTAGTATTATTTATTCAAATATATAGAACATTAAGCCAGGCATTTAAAACTATAGATATGTGCATACAACATGTTATTACTTATTTTATAGGTTATATTTGACCATAGAAATAAAATTCCTGCCATCCTTATAATCTCCACATATTTTTATTTAAACTGTTATAGGACATATGGATTACCCTGTCATATATTTTATGTTTTCCCAATAAATTGGTTCCTTGAAGCAGATTCTATTCTTTATCTGTTCACACTGTCCTGACATGAGAGGTATGTTTTAGCTGACCCATGTTGTTCTCAGTTCTTATTGAATTGACTTAAGTAAGATGGTTAAGCCCTGGCCAGGTAGCTCAGTTGGTTAGAGCATCATCCCAATAAGCCAAGATTGCCGAATGGATCCCAGGTCAGAGCACACACAAGAATCAACCAATGAACGCATAAGTAAATAGAACAACAAATCAATGTTTCTTTCTCTCTTTCTCTCTCTCCCTTCCAATAAATAAAATAAACAAAGTTAATAAATAGCACTTACTATGTAACCAAAGAGATACTACAGAATGACAAGAAAAAACCCTAGATTTAAAGACAAATTTGAAAATAAAGTCTACACCTCTCATGTATACTATATACTGCTCTACCTTGTTGGGTATTTAGAAATTATATTTTATTTTGCAAAATCTGCTATCAGCATACTGAACATTCAAAAATATTTTTATATATAAAAAATAGCCCTAATTTTTATATATCTTAAAATGTATCAACCTCTTTAAATATAAGATTTATGACAACAGGACTTATTTCTTATTCCATTCTATGTAATCTACAATGAAGACAATGTAGTGAATTCATAAAGCCTAGTAATACATCACAAAAGTCTAAGAAAATTCTGCCTGGCTAGCATGGCTCAGCGGTTGAACATTGACCTATGAACCAGGAGGTCACAGTTTGATTCCCAGTCAGGGCACATGCCCAGGTTGCAGCTCAATCCCCAGTAGGGGGCGAACAGGAGGCAGTTGATCAAGTATTCTCCCTCATCATTGATGTTTCTATCTCTCTCCCTCTCCCTTCCTCTCTGAAATCAATAAAAAAAATATATTACTAAAAGTTTTACAAAATTCTTTTTAAAAAAGTATAATATAAACTCTGGGTTTTGAGTGATTATGTATCAATGTAGGTTCATTGATTGTAATCAATGTGTCACAGTGCTACAGAATGTCAACAGTGCGGGGGGAGGCTGTGCATGTATGTGGGAACTTTCTGTACTTTCCACTCCATTTTGCTGTGAACCTAACACTGCTCTAAAAAAAATAAAGTTGATTTAAAAAAATGACCCTCTCCCCAACGCTATCTGCTGTCTCTTAGCTCAGTAATGTAATGTGGCATGAAGCAATCAGACTACCTGTGGAAATGAAGACCGAAGTGGAAGCCAGCAACTGAGCGCAGTGACACCTGCCAGTTTCTGCTGTGTGGTCAGAGCAGTGTATAAAGATAAAGCTCCTCCCTAGAAAGACAAGCAGGGAGAGTCAATGGAACAACACATCCTTTGTTAACAGCAACCTAAGAAGTTTCTTGTTATTAATAATGTCCATCAAAAAATCACACTGGGTGGCTGATGTCAAATCAAATCAGGCAAACAAGTAGAAATACATGCACACCCACTGTGTCCTAAAGCACATGATTCTCTACACTGAAGACCACTGTGAGAACTTAGCAACCACCCAGTCAGTCAAGACACAGTTAATCCGAGTTAACTGCTGCACTTACAACTGCCTTAGAAGCATTATAGATTCATAGTTACTATTTTCTCCTCTGAAAAGTGCGTATAAAATCAAAACTCGTCTTAAACTGGTATTATTTTCCAAAACAGTAATTCAAGATAATGAAGACTATGTAGCAGACACCTTTAAAGTAGCTGCCTACCCAGCTCACACCACCCTGCATCCTGGGAACTGCATACCCATCAGTCATCTAGATGCCATGTCACTCTGGCCACGCCCACAAGTCACTAGGCCACATGAAAACGTGAGATCCTTTCTCATCTGAGGTATTTATGTTCCTTCTCCCAAGATTCTGAAATTGGGACTCAGTGACTCTCAGTCTGTTTCTTTGTGTGGCTGGAATTGAAATGTAAACTCAAAAACTCCACAGTAATTGCAGGAGAATCTGCAGGGCTCAACCAATGGGAATCGGTGACAAAAAGAGGGAAGAAATTCTCTTGTCTTCTACCTTACTGTTCCTATCAGTAGTCTCTCCTCCTAGACATGGGCTTTATACCTCTATTTAGAGCTTCGTTTAAAGAGCTATAGAGTGTTAACATTTCAGATTCCAATCAATTTACTTAATAAATCTATTTTCAAGACATACTCTCTACCAGCGGTTGCCAACCTTTCAGACCTCACGGACCACCAGTGGTCCACAGACCACTGCATACAGTAAAGCTGCTGAAAAGAGAAAACTAGAAAAGCAAAAGAGTATAAGTATTCTCTCAATTAATAGTTATTTCTAATCCATTCGAACTTAATCCAGCATTAAAGGTAAGTAGTATATCAGTTTCTATAACATCTTCTAAAAAGAGGAGATCTGATAGAAAAGGATTGAAGCCACTGACTTCTAGATAAATATACTGATGGTACTGACATACCACCCAAACTTTATCTTACCTGAGAAAATCCTCCCAAAATAATTCTGTCTGAAGGAATGCCATTCTTCACCTCTTGGTCTATCAAAGTTTTTACTAAAAACAACATGAAAGTGATATTACTAATACTTTCAAAGTTAAGGTCATTGATACAATTTAAATAGAAAAAATATTTAATGACAGTAAAATACGAAGTATATTAAAGGTCAAAACAAGTGAAAAACTTGAAGCATTCTATTAAAATAGAAAATTAGAATGCATTTTCATGATAAAACTCAGATTTTGCATGTGGTGCTTACACTCCAATTGTTTCTTATTACATAATTTGTAAAACAGTTATTTCATCAATATATGAATATTCTTTTATGCAAGGCCAATTCTGCTCATATGCATTTTATATTTCTCTCTTCAAGGGACCATAGGCATTTGTACCTAAAAGTTATAATTTAAAATTTTAAGTAATTAAGCAGATTGCATGGTTTGTGATTTACAGTGTTTAAACAGTTCATTCTATTATTTTTTTAAAAGCACAGTATTATATTTTCCTATAGCCAGTAAAAGAAACAAATGAGTTATTTTCTTTCTGCAAAATACATTTGTGTTGGCACACATCACTAAATATATGACTTGATACCTCCTCAAATGTCCATTTCTTTATAATCAGTCCTGAATTTTGGGAATAACTGCACCTTTAACAAATTTATTTTCTTTCATTTTTTATGTATATGTAAGACTTTAATTTTTTAAGACTAAAATTTCCACCTTTACATTTCCTTTTTATTTAAAAAACACACAAAAATATGCTTTTATTACATCACTGCAAAAACCCAAATGCCCAAATTAAAAGTTATTTTGTTTTTGTATATATTTTAGTTCTTCATTAGAAATAGTATGAAAAGCTAGAGGTGCCTTGACTAGGGCCTGGGAGAATGGGCTAGAGAACAATTAAGAAGATTTAAGGAATGAAAGAACTGAGGAAAAGTCTGAGGGATTTACTTAGGGGAGACTGCACAGCCTCTGACAGATGCACAAGTGGCAGAAACAGCCCATGTGTGAGGCTGGAAGGCTGTGGTTGGGGCTTGGTGAATGTTAGCTGCTAGCTAGTCAGGTGCTGTTGGGAGTATTTTCCCTCAGTTTCGCAAAGCTTTACATGCCATGGGCACACCAGCTGCTGAGATAAAGTTAAACTCCAATAGCAGCAGTCGGTTGTGGAGTAGTGGGTTCTAATTTCTGCAGCAGGGCCAGAGAACCACTGTGCTCCCTGGACCTAACCTGAGCACTCTTCTTTATTCTGTAGCACAGACTCTCAGCCCTCAACTAGAGACTCCTTTCTTTTCCAGCTCTGAGCCTGAGCCTAATGCTCTCCAATATTACATTGCCTAGGAGAGGAAAGAAATCTCAAGTATGTCCTAGGCCAATCGTATCACGAGGACAGAATGTTTTCCCCTCTGGACTCACCAGGCCCACCTGTTTTCACAAAGCCCAGCTCCCATCTTCCACAGGGTCTCACAACTCATTCCCATACCCAACACATGTTTTTGTCATCTATTATTTTCTGACAAATACCTAGCTATAGGATTATAGCTTTTATATTTTTTTCTTTCTTTTTAAAACCTTACCCGAGGATATTTTTTCTATTGATCTTTATTTTTTTAAAATATATTTTTATTGATTTCAGAGAGGAAGGGAGAGGGAGCGATAGAAACAACAATGATGAGAGAGAATCATTGATCGGCTGCCTCCTGCACACCCCACACTGGGGATCGAGCCCGCAATCCAGGCATGTTCCCTGACAGAGAATCAACTGTGACCTCCTGGTTCATGGGTTGATGCTCAACCACTGAGCCACACTAGCTGGGCAGTCTGTGTTCTTTATGCTTTCACAAAAAAATAAGCAAAATTAAGACATTCATAAGGCAGCATGGAATACTAACCAGAGAACAGACTTTGGAGATTCTATAAAGTAGAGCTAACGCTTATTTCATAGGAATGTTAAATGAGATGATTTATAAGAATTATCTAACTTTTTTAATATTACCACACTAAAATTAACCATTATTTAATTTTCACATCATTATATCATTATTTTCATCCTTATTTCAAGTCTCCTTAATGAAGATAACTGGCAACAGATATTAAACATTTTGTTATTTTCTCCATTTGATATGTAATCCAAAGCAAAATGAACTATCCAACAGTTAAAGTGTAATAACTGCCATTCCTCCCTGTCCACCTCACCTTCACTGAGCATAGTTAAGTGAGTCCATGTGGTAAACAAGTTAGAGAGTGATCAGAAAGAAAGGAAACAGCACCACCTCCCAAGTTCACATAATTGTGCAATATTTTCATCAACATCAATAAAATGATTGAGTCTACTAAAAAGTATAAGAATGACTTGGTTTATAAAACTACTCTGTATTTACCATATTCTGCTGCATGTTTAATTCCAGGTTCATCCTCCTGTGAATCTGGTGAAAGCCCAATAATATCAAACCTGGAAAATAAGGCAAAATCTTAAAAAGAATATCTACTCATGGTAGGTATGTTTTACTAAACTCGTGGTAGTTGGGATAAAAAGGACTGGCAAACGTATTCTCTAGAACATGAAATTCAAAATGTCTTCAGAGGTGAAACAATTAAATGCATGACTGACATTCTATACGTTTCTTTCATCCCAACTAGATACGGATTCTAATGTTAAGTCAGAGTGCTACATAATTTTAGGATAAGCATAACTAAGAGATAATCGAGTCCAATCTTGCACCCAAGCAGGAATCTCAACCCATACTCCTAAGAAGTTTGCAATACATTTCAGCCACTCATTTCCTCTTCTATTGTATAAGTCAACCCCATGGAATAGAGCTACTTTATTATGTCATTCTTGCATGCACTACTCATACCTTTTGAACATATTATTTATACTGATCTTTATCCATACTCTGCAAAACTTTTTCATTACGTATTGTAGACACTTCAAACCAGAGACCAAGAGAAGCTTTCCTTTGGCCCTTTCTACTTCTCTATCAGATTATGTTCTTTTATTCTGGTCTCTAGAGACATTAGGTAGAAATTCTGGTTCTGGACAGGAATTTTGCCAGAGAGAGAAGATTTAAAAAACCAAAGGCCAAGGTAGGCAGGAACCTGTAAAAGTCACCAAGGAATCTAAAGTTCATAAAAAAGAAAGAGCAGGGACGGGTTAGAGATGGGTGGGAACAAGCAGGAGGACAGCAGACTGGAAGTCCTGATGAGGTCTTAAGAAAAAATGGTGTGGAAACAGGGAAGCAAACTCAAGAGATGAGTAATTATTCTTAATATCAGGTTTGAATTAAGTGACTTCAGAGATGGCACAGCTCCAGGTGACAAGGCCCAAGGATGACTGTGGATGACCAACGGTGAGAGGAGAAAATGTTACTGTAGAAGAGAAGAGCCAAGGAAGTAAGTAACAAGCCAGTCAAGGTTGTGAACGAGTCATTTATATTGGATCCTGTAGTCACTCAAAAGATAAAATGGTGGCATGAAATAGAGTGGAAAGGAGAATACTAATCGGGTGTCAAAATCATCATTTTTTGAAAGACCTGTGGCAGCAGTCTCAGAGAACTGCAGGAAACAAAATCAAAGTTTAGAAGTGGTTCAAAGAAATGAAGAACTGACTCTATCTACTTGCTACAGGGGGAATAGCAAAAATATCTTAAGAGGGCCCAAGAGGAAATGGTTTCCTAAAAAAATTTATCAATCTTCCCCAAAAGGGAAGAAATAGAAGTGTAAAGAAGCCGTTGCTTAACCAGAGTAATTGCTACCTGGGGTCATTCAATGTTTGCTTACTGAAATCAACAGTTTGGTTACTGTTTATCAAGCAGTTTTTCTATTCACCCAATTCTCTCCTGTTTTTCTACCTATTGGTGCAGTCTCTGAGGTTTACCCCTGAATCTAAAATAAAAAAAACTTAAATAATTAAATAAGATTGAATTTAAAGTGAATTATATAACTTTGCCACTTAAATTAGCTAATTAAACATTGCTATACACAAAAGTACCTCTGATCAAGAAAACTAAATATTTGAGGTTGAAACGGCCCCGGTGAGGTCGGGACGGCCCTGGTGAGGTTGAAACGGCCCTGGTGAGGTTGAAACTGCCCCCGTGAGGTATGGACGGCCCCGGTGAGGTTGAAAAGGCCCCGGTGAGGTCGGGACGGCCCCAGTGAGGTTGAAACGGCCCCGGTGAGGTAGGGACGGCCCCGGTTAGGTTGAAACGGCCCCG